GAGGAGGAGGAAGAGGAGGAGGAGGAGGCGGAGGAGGAGGAGGAGGAAAACACAGAGGAAAACTCTGTGCTTTGCTTTTTAGTTGCAGACGTTTCATGGTCTAACTGGGGAACATCATCCAGTGCTAGAAATAAAGCGTTTTGCAGGGAGGAGGAGGAGGATGAGGTGTGTGTGTGTGTGTCCACAGACAGGGTCAAAAGCACAAAGATGGGAGCTCCCACAATGTGATCAGAGATGCATCCCACCTGTGACACCCATACAAAACAAGGATCCAAGATGGGCAGCATGTACATTTTAATAAATGTATTAAAAATGTGCAGAGAGCTTTGATTGGTGGAGATTAACCAGAGACACAGAGAGTCCTTGACTGATAAGCCACAAACGGGGGATGTTGGTTAGTTTGGGATTCAGGAGTGCTGGCTGCATGCAGGAGCCAGGTGAATTCAAACAGATTAAGCAGGTTGTGAGAATGCGACTCAGGCGACTTGGTGCTTGGTGGGAGAGCAACAAGGATTTGGGCTTTTTATGGTGCAAAACCCCTGATGCTTCAATTGTGGCTTAAAACAATCAGCTCCTTTCCAAGTTGTGGGTCTGTAACAAAAGAGGTGTTTTCCCAACACATCCACTCTGTTTTCTCCAGGGTTAAAAATGATCTTGCGGTTGTATCAAAATGAAGTTACTTGCAACCAGGAACTGGTAAAGTTTTTGAGATACACACATACACACAGACACACACACACACACACACACACACACACACACTAGCTGGAGATCCGTGCTTTGCTAAGTAACTATGTGGTCAGGCTTAGTTTTTGGGGAGGAAAAGGGGGGAGGGAAATTTTGCTTCTGCCTACCAGCATCCATTGGGATTCATCTGGCTAGCGTCCTGTCAGGGTGTGAGAGAGTTGAGGGCTGTTTGGAAACTGAAAGAGTATTTGCTGCAGGAGCAAGGAGACAGCAAGGAGCCCGGGCGTGCCTTAGCTCAACTGTTCTGGACTAAAGCTGCTTGGGGCTGTGAAACTGAAACTCCTCTCCTCTGCTTGTGTTTTGCATTTGGAAGAGATTTCTTTCCAGGTGGGGGAGGGGCAGTAGGACTCCTTAGCATCAGAGCGTGTTAATAATAATAATAATATAAGAATTACTCTAAATGCTCTGACGGTCATTTTGAAAAATCCTTTCTTATTGAGCCCCTAGAAGCCAAGAGGAAAATATGTGCCAAATTTCAACTTTGTAGGCTTTACGGTCCTGGAGATTTTGTGATGATGCCTGAGTGATCTTTCACTTTATATATATATATAAATAAATATTTTCCCCAAGACCTTTGGAATTTTCCAAGGTTACTAAAGAAGTGTCAGCATTTTGCTGGCTACTTTTGAGAAGTTCTGCTCAATTCGCTTGCCAAGGTCTCTGTTTTGCGCTGTGTTATTTCTAAACGCCTCACGTTCCAACAACAGTTGGTCGGTCGGTGCGATGAAAGCATCCAAAGCGAAGCAGCTGGAAAACAGGATGCAAAATTTTCCTCCCTCGATTCTCTTCTGTTTCATTTCACATTCCTGATTCATTGTCCACCCTCCACTTTTTTATTTTTTGAAATATTTTTATTGCTTTGCGTCATACATTTCCTTTCTATGTTGAGCAGTGTGCTCTCTAGGTGTCCAAGGTGTTAACATACAAACATCAACACACACACACACACACACACACACACCAAATATGCAGTAATATATACACTAATACGCGATAACTTCAATCATATTATAACATATATTATCTTCCATTATAGTATCGGTTATATAACC